AACTGCTGGAAGCATAATTTGCAATTTCAAAGTTAAAGGAACCCTACAGAAAATCTTTGGTGGGATTTGAAAAAGGCAGTTGTAGCACTCAAACTCAAGAATATTAGTGAACTGGAGGCCATTGCCCATGGGGAATGGGCTAAGATTCCTCAGGAATGCTGCCAGAAGCTGGTGTCTGGCTATGAATCATGTTTGCAGCAGATCTTGACAGTAAAGAACTAAAGACGCTTGTCATGAAGGGGTGGAATAATTTGGAGACTGCAGAAGTCATTAAAAGTTGTATTTTGTGTTGAATTTGGAGAAACCACTTGCTACATTAGTTGTGTTGAGCTATTTCAATTGTTCATGTTTGATTTGTTCAAAGCAAACAGCTTAAAGTTTGTACATTTTGCCATTATCTCCACCTTTCAGTACATTATCGGTGTCAGGGGTTGACAGCACTGACTGAAACACAGTGTCAGCCTCACTTTTTCTGTCATCCCATTTTCTTACCTGTTGACAGCTGTACATAACTTTGACACCTGAGGTGAGCAGCTTGCCAGTGCTGTGAGTCAGCAGTGAAGGGTGGACTGGAGCCATAATGGAGGTGAGACTTGCCCTGCCTGTTGGAGGTGATGACAGCAGCTCAACACAGGCCATGTAATCTTAAGTTGATCAAGACATAATAATAATAATAATAATAGTAATAATAATAATAATCCAACCCCCCTTGACTCTCTGCAAGCTCAGCAGTAATAGATGGATGAAATATTCCTAACACGCACAGACATCCCTGCACCTTACTGCCTTTGACTGTTGTTCCAGCATCTTTTCTGAGAATACTACTGAAATGTAGATTTTTTTTTACACCTAAAACACATGCACAGTCCCTTTTCATTCCCAGATAGTGTCTGCAGGACTTTGACTTCACTCTCCATAAGGCGCCAACCACCTCCTAGTAGTAAGTATGGGCATAGCCTGTGAGGCAAAACCCCGGCAGCTGCTCTTAATCTGATTGCTTTGAGCACACAGGTCATAACAGAAGGCAATAAACATGAGTTTATCAAATCAACATCTTTATCAACTCCTTTCTTGTTCCATTTGCAATATGGCTGCTGGACAGTAAAAGGAAATTGTTTGCAGAGGATTTGTTAAGAAACTCAACCTGAATAACAGAAGTGAGGGGGGCAAGAAGTGAAGGTTTTTATATAGTTGTTTGGATTTAGGACCAAAGGGCTCCTTAAAGAATCCAGAGGTACATGAGCAGCCTTCAAGGTGACCAGGGGGAATGATCCTCCGAGACAGACCTGCTGTAGGTCCATCTGTCCTCTGCTTATGATTCCCTGTTCAACACTCCTGACCTTGGTGGGACAATTAATTTAATTTGTTCAGCCTCACTTGGTTTTAAGGGAAGCAGTTCTTGTTAAATCCAAATTCTTTTCAATTCTTTACCTGCTTTCTCTTCCAAGTCAAACTGAGCCTTGCTGACATCTGCTGCTAATAAACCTCTGGGTTATTATATTATCACCTTCTACTCCTGTTTGATGAGCTACACTGAGCTTAATTTATTCAGCCTCAGATGATTTGAGATCATCTTATTACTTGCATACATTTTATGAGGAAAGTTTAGTTTCACAGAGTGTGCAGATTTGTGGATGTTTTACACAAGTGTCAGAGAAATAAATCTCTTACACCTCAAAGCAGAAGTACATGCACCGGTCATTTATGCTGTTGGCAGTTCGGGACAGCCACTCAGTAAGTGTTAGGCTGATGTTTTCATGAACAACACTGTTATATGTGTTCAGCAGCAGTGACAGTGCTTTGTGTGAAGAGGAACCACTGAGCACTTGGCATTGGCATTGTTGGCTAACACGGCTAAACAAAGAAAAGAAGGTCACTCAGCTCAGACTTGATGAATAGAAAACCAAGGGAAAAAAGACACATTGGTTACTGAGAGGAAGGGAAGCGTGCTTAAACGCAAACCTGTGAGTCAACTGTAGAGTGAGCAGTTAAACCCTCAGAAGATGAGGAGCTCTCCAGTCTGAGAGGAGCGACGAATACCGCTGCAGATTTAGCTCTTTTTATTTTTGGACACGTTTCTCTAATTAACCACAGTCAAAAGTGAGTCACCATATGACTGAGGGTATTGTGTAAAAGTAATGACTGTGTAAAGTATTACTGATGTAGCAAAAATCTATAAGAAATCAAATTTTGTAGTCAGCTTTTGGTAAAAGTTGGAAATGGTTTGTATCTGGCTGTCATTTTAAGAAATAGATTTTATAGCTCTTGTTAAATTTTATTACATGCCTCACCTTTCGAAGCTTCTCTAATCACTGCAGCATCAATACCAGACTGCCTGAGTGTTTGTTTTTGGCTCAGTGTGGCCATTGCTTTTAACTTAAGGTTCTGTCTTTATTGCATGGCCATCGAAACAAAGAGGTTAGCTGCAGCAGATCAATTGTGTCATGAACTCAGGGTCACTTCATTTGTGCTTAAGGGTTTACTATCGGCTCTAGTTTTGCATGCTGTCACCACTCGAGACTCACTTGAAATTCCTTAAGAAACTGATCTATAGGCATCTGACCTTCACTCCTTTACAGCCAGCAATCTAAATGGTAAAACAGCAGATTTGTAAATCCGCACCATGTAAAAGGCTGGCTGTATTTAAAGTTGCTATTAAAGGACATGAACACAGTGTTTCTCATCACAGAAAATCAGCATTTTCCTTATGCATCAGCCAATCAGACTGTAGTGTGGTCAGGCTTGAAACAAGCCAATCCCCTACACACCCCACTCCTCTTCTCACACTAGCCAGGACTCAAAGAGTTAGAGGCTGGTGGAAACAAACAGGATGAGTGCAAAGTAACTGTATGTGTAACTGTATCAAGCTCCCATCAATTGAGTTCTCATGCAGAGCTGAGTGAAAAGGTTAGAAAGCAGAGGGTTGTCAAGCTGTAAAACATTACAAACTCAATCACTTGGCTCAGCATTAAGCTTGCTGCTGTGCTGCATAAGAGTTATGTAAACCCTGCGATGATACTGCCTCAGTGTTGTTTGGATGTAACAGAGTCATCAGCATTATCCAGACAGGCAGGAGTGTCAGTGTGGAGCAGGCTAAGGACACCTTTGTTCACTCATTTCACTAAATCAAATTACCCTTAAAAGCATAAACATTATGGCCGACATTTTGGAAAACACTGAGTGCAAACTGTGGTGCCCAGCCTGCTGACACAGCTGAACTCGGTGAAGATTGACAGCAGTTTCTTGATTCCACGAGGCAGTGCTCAAATCACAGGAACGCCAGCCTCCTCACACATACTGACTTTGGGAAATTGGCTGCAGCACAGAAGCTTTCACAGATTCTGGCAGAGGAGACTGGACCTGGTGAATGCCTGATAAGACTGATTTGAATGAGACTGCATTCTCCTTTGTTTTGATTACAGGACTTATAAATATCAACAGTGACCCCACTTGTGATGCAGCCCTAAATTAATCCTTTGCTTTCAATGTGTGCAGTCTTGTTTCAGCATGACTCAATGATGCCCTCAAGTGGCCAGAGCCAGTCAGCTGCAGTCAGCACAACACTGCCATGACAGACAGCAGACTGTTATGTTTGTGTCTTTGTGTTAGGCTCTGAAGTCAGTTTGCTTCTATTCAGATGTGCAGATGAGAAACCTCATTATCACCATCTGTCTTCCATTTTCCTTCTTTGTGCCAGGTGGAGGATGAGGGACTGGATCTGACATGCATGACTGTTGATCATGAGAAAAATCACCAGATATTCTTAAAAGTCATAGAGTAGAGTGCCATAAAAGCCTAACCCCTATTTTTGCATCGACAGCATGTGAAAGCTAAAAACACTTTGACTATAAAGTGCTCCATGGCCTGTGACTTCCTGTTTCAATAATAAAACACGGTTCATTAAGTTTTTGCAGTGACATAAAATCCTGCAAAATAAACAAGAAACACACACACATGCACATCCTTTGTCAGAGGACTTCCAAAGGGGGCACTTGTCCCTTATATGTCCCTGTTGACAACTTGTCTGCCTATGTGTCTTCAACTACATTAATATAATTGTTGCTGTAAAGCAGTAATTCTAGGCTCATTCAGTAGAATAGTCATACATGGTGGCACAAGCCACACACAGTATATTTGTCCCCAGGGCTGGTTCATGTAAGTGAAGCAGAGGATTTACAATTTGTGTGCAGCAAGGCCTGCCCTCGGATGGCTTTTGGTCGCTCTGGAAACAGCGACTGGTGGATGTCACAGGTTTACTACCTGTTGGTTAGTTGTGGTATCATGTGGTTATTTGACAGTTAAATGTGAATTACAATACAAGCACACTCACTGTAACAACTCAGTCACTTAATAGTAGTGTCAAAATGCTGAAATTTGTACACCTGCTTTTACCACACCCAGTGCACGCCTCATTCTGAGGATGTGATGAAACACAATTAGTATTTTTGAATAAAAGCTTTAACAAAGACATTTCATGCTTGAAAATACAACTGCAATGCTAACTCATATGATCATGGAGACAGTACAGTAACCTACTGTACCAACTAATAACATGCCTAGCCTTTTAACATCATTAACTTTGACCTTCATGAGATTATTGTCCAGTATTTTTGTAGTAAGCATTTGACATTTGCGCACAGAAACAGCACTTAGTGCCTAGTGCATTTAGTACTAAAAATAAAGGCACTAAAAAAGACAAGTGACTCTCTACTGTCCCTAAATGGATAATTCAGACTGACCTTATATTACATTGGAAGCTTATTTGCCAAAACTGAACTTTATAAATGTAAATTATACATTTGCAAAATTGTAAACTGTAATTTGATGATGAAGGAGACACCAGACCAAACGTCATTTATTTAGAATAACAGAGACCACACCTTTCAGAATTCATAGAAAGCCAAAGCTCCTTTTATTTGCTAAAAGTATATAATAATTAAAAGGAAGCAAAAAAGGAAACTGAGTACATAAATTACAATATTCACTAACCGTCCTTCTTATTAGGTTCATAAAATGTAACTAACAGAAAATTACAACTGAATCAATAGTTGCCACTGGTGTACTGCATACTGTCAGAGCTCCTAATTCTCACAAATCTCATTAATTCTGACAAATCTAACAAGGTCTTGATGACAGATAGTTGCTGGAATACTGTATAGTCATTCTTTGTTAAGGCTAATGTTGTGTGTTCTTGTACAGTAATTACAACAGCCATTTTCACTTCCATGCTTTTCTTTGACTACTAGCCATCCCAGGCTCCTTAAAACCCAATAGGACCAAACTAAGAGGCAGAAAGAAAATCTGTGCCAGCTACAGATGCACGGCTGCTGAAAATGGACAATATCCATGCATATTTCCAGGCAGAATAATTTGCCCTGAAATTCTAAAGCAAGATTTTCTGCCCTGCAGACTACAGAAACCCTTGATTGGTGTTCACAGTCTTTGTGGGTACAGTTCTACTGTAGAGAATTGACCCCCCGCCCCCTATCACATTGATTCAGTCCATAGGAGGCCTAGTAGTGACTAAATGGTGCAGTCTCCTTCAACTCATGGTACCTCTGGTGGTTTGGCTCTGTAAAGAGACAGAGAGGGCAGTTAGGGCTAGGAAGTACCACACATCTATCTCTTCTACATTAGCCTGTGCATTTAGACTTTTTTTTTTTTTTTTTAGAAATGTAGCTTTAAACAATACAGAGAAAAAAATTTACCAGACCATTTTATTATGATTCACTGCCTATAGTTACAAATGTTTCTCAAACTGCCTCCTCAGGTCCTCGATATGACCTTAATCTGCATTCAATGAGAACTGCTGCTGCCTTATATTAAATGCAGTTGCGATTCATTTTCAGAGCCTGTATCTGTAGACTGGAGGTCACTTCATAATTTTCTGTACATCCCAAATGATGTAGACAAAAATAGCCACCAGCAGAATGCATTTGAGTGTGTAGATAAGAGTTACAGTACCCAGACTCATATTCTCCTCCACCAGAGGCCTCTTCTCGCTGCAGTTTACCACTCTTCCCTGGGCTGCTCCCAGAACAGTCATGATGTCCACTAAGCTGAGCTTGCCCTCCTTTTTGGCCTCCTCCACCTCCTCTGCCAGCTCCATCGCAGCCTCTTCACGCTCTTCTATTTCTTCTTGGGTCAGCATTGCATTTAAGCCCTGCTCTGCAGTGATGTTGCCCACCTGCGGCGGTGCCAGTGAGCACAGTGCCCTCACCTTTCCATAGGACCTCAAGTGTGCTACGTTGGCACGCAAGAACAGCAGGAGGACATTGAGGTCATTCAGTGGGCAGCCTAGCCTGTGTTGGTTGATAATATCCAGCGCTGGGAGGACATCATAGACAGAGATGAAGGTGGTGTCCCAAACAAATAGACGAATTAGGCTGAAGAGGACGATGGGAGCCAGCAGGATGTAGATTGCACCATTGGCCACACTTATCACCTGAAAGACTAACTGACCAACCATTTTACACTGAACCAGCTCAGGAACCCAGTTCTGATCACGCAGCATCCCCGTACGGACAAAGCAGCTGAACTCATCCTGCAGGAAGGCTGAGAGGTGGAAGTAGGCCAGGTAGAGACAGGCAGCGCTCATGAAGATCAGGAGGAGGAAACCACGCAAGAAAAGCATGCTAACAAGGAAGTAGGAGTTTTGTTTGCACCGCAGGTATCTTTCCAGTAGAGGGTACTCAAAGTATCGCTTCTTCTTAGCCCTGCAAACAGACAAGGAGAGGAAGCTCAGCACCATGTTCATACAGCTACACACATTTCCAGCTGGGAGCTCCCCAACCCCATCAGGATCTTTTACTTTTGGCTGCTAGAAGCTGCCCACCACAACACCCACAACAGTTCTCCACTGACAGTGCACAATGTTAAAACCTTGCTCAAACCACATTTTTTCCATGCCACATTGTCTTAGTTTACCATGAGGTTTAAGCTGACAGCAAAAGATCACTTCAGTAACCTTTGAGTACAGTAGTGTTTCTCACTTGCAAATCATCCTTATTTGCTGCTGCCGTGACCCAGATTCTCTATGAGAATCACTGGACTTTCATTTAATAAAGTATATTCTATTGGGGGGCAACATAATCTTATAAGATTGGGTTAAAATTAAAACAAAACCCAAAAAGTAGTGTTTTATTTGAAACAGGTACAAAGTAAAGAGCAATAAATATTTTCCATAGGCCAGCATTCAGTGGACTCTTACCTCTGCAGTTCAGCCTGGAATGTGAGAGGGTTCTTAGTGTTCTGGCGCATTTCCACAATGCTCTGGGCCAGTCGGATCGAGCGGTTGTACGACATGTCTAGTTCGTCAATTATGAACAGCAGGTCTGAGCCCAGCGTGGGCGCGACGAGCTGGCGCCAGATCAGAGCTGGCAGGTACATCAGCACTGCCATGGCAAGAAGAGAGTAAGGGAACATCTGGGTGGATAGTGGCAGAAAAGGGCGACAGAAAAGAGATGCAGATGGAGAGAAAGGAAAGACAAAGCAGCAGAAAAGAGAGCAGATGAGTCACATAAACATTGGCTTCACAACCCAGTATGACAAAAGAACAAGCACAACTTGTCCTGAACTACAGTTAAATATCACCTGCACTGGGTATGAATTCTTTGCAAATGGTGTTAGCAACTAATAAAATACTTTACTTCATACTAAAGGGTTATTACACTGAAATTTTCATCGGAAGTCTTGCAAGTTACAGGAATGAGAAGAGTTTGTCAGTAGTTTAACACCATCGGCCACTCTAGGTGAGGTTATAACAAGTCACAAAAAACCTGATCAAAATCTGAACACTTACTTTGTGAACCCAGAGAGAGCGCTCCTCAAAGTTTCCATGGCTGTTGTACTCATGATGCATGAGAGAGTCCCAGCAGTATGTGTCTACATAGCTCGCCTGCTTGACAGTGAAATTGCTGGGAGGGAAACAGCTGATCTGAGGCCCTACAGAATAAACAAATGTTGATCTCTTACATTATGTCCTAATATAGGGAAGTGGTTTCTGCAGTCTTATTTGATTCTGCTTTACCAATGTGCCTGTAAGCAATCTGGAAGCACTTGATATATCAAGCATTTAAAGTCTGCTTAGTACTGGAGGTCCCATAAGAAACATGCACATGTGAACTTCTGCGAGCCCTTTTTCTTTAAGTGCAGCAGATTTTCACTGGAGTAATAGTATGTTTTCAAATAGCAACCTGGCATTTAAAAACCCTGGGTGACTTGATAGTACCACATATAGTCCAACCACTTGAATCCATGCACTGTACCCATCTATCATTTCCTAAGGGTGCTCCACCCTTAAACAGAGAACTTGTGGGGGAAGACACCAAGGGTGTGCCCCACCCATTACACAGTCTTACAAGAGAAACATTGTGCTTCTATTTTCTTCACAAAGCACCCTCCACATCTGCCCAGATTTCTGTAAGAAGAAGCATACAGCCACAAATGTACCATCATTGAATTTCCCATGCCAGCCCACCTCAATATAGGAAACTGTTATATAGTCAGATTATCCTATATGCATACATGTGGATTAAGGAAAGGTTAGGTTTTAGGTTAGGGTCTCCAAGAAAAGAATACATCTATGCAATACCCTCACGAGGAAGGAAAACAAATGTTTGTGTGTGTGTGAATGTGTGCATGTTGTATGGGTGTAAATAAATCAGCCACATTTAAACATATTGATAGTCACCTCTAAAATATAACTATGGTAGCTGATTAACTAACACTGTCATAAACATGGTAAGAAATAGATTGCAATTGAAGAAATCCCCTCAAGGCTTTCCGGAGATATCATGGGATGGGAGTGGGACAGCTGGACAGACAGACACACAGACAGGTGCACGTACAGACAACCTGAAAACATAATGCCTCCGCCTGTGACTGTCACTGTCAGGCTCAAAATGAGCTCTAATAATATATGAAAGTTAGTCAATATGAAATTAAGAAAAACATGATATTAGAAACTATATACCGGACATTTCAAATCTTCTTCATATAATAGAAGGGCCATTTTGAAACCCTGTTTGAAATAAAAATACATTTTACTGGAGGTGAAGTCAGTGGTGAGCTCAAAATGCCCCAAAAAGTGGTTGACCCACTGCCACCTAACCACCAACATCATGAAACAGCAGATTCTTTTTAAAAGGTTCTTTAAAGCTGTTTTATCACATCCTGTGTCCTCAGAGCTGTCACTTAACAAACCCTAAAGGCATCAAGACTGAGTATGGCATAGCATGTGAAAACATGTTACTATTCAACAAATCACTGAAAAAACATTGACTTTCACTGTGAGAAAAGAATGTTACTAAATTACCTTACTGTTTTAGTACTTACCAAGAGTTCAATCATATATTTAAGTCTAATAGCAGGAGCTACACTGATACATCATATAGTGTATAAGTCATAGTGATTGTAGTTATAATAATAGCCGACACCACTGTATGTTCTGATGGAGCTTACTGTGGGAATTTATTTTTCCAGTTTGCTTGTGAGAGCATATGTGGGCACTCATGTTAACAAATCATTTGAAATAAAAAACAATAGCACAGGCCTTCTTGTGAAATCTTGTAAAATATTCTCTCCCGCGCTCACTACCCCTGTGAGCCATTTGGCGAAGTGAGGGAGCCTAAATTTCTGCCACTGCTCCTATCTCTGACTTCCACTCCCCAGTTAACATTGGCAGATCATCCCCGTATTTCAGCTTTGTGCAAAAATTCTTGGCTGAGAGTCCAGGTGCAAGTAAACCAGACTCCAGACAGCAGTGCAATCAAGCACTGTTGTGAAACTGACAACCCAGCAGATAGGCAGCCAAGATCCATCAGTTGAGCCGCCTTCCCCAGCACCACATTGTGCCCCCCCCTCCCCAGTTAATCAACATATCCTCTCATTTAACTCAAATAGAAGGGAGCTGCCACAGAAGAACTTTGCCTTGTAATTACAGCGTGCCAGTGTTAGTGAACGCTGCTCTCAATCATTCCCTATGGCAATTAGAATCAGGAGCATCAAGCTGATTGCAGAACAGCTCTGGAGAGACAACATTTAGTTCAAAGTCAAGGGAGTCAGCCTCCCCAGCAATAGACCTGTGCTGTGGACTTGACATGTATTCATTGGATTGTTAGTTAAGCTTTCTGTGTTATCTGACTGACCGTGGAAAGACAGGCTGTGGCCCAAATCCCAGTTAAAACATTTTTCTCTCTCTGGTCTGAATCAGGTAGTGAAAGTAAAGAAAACAGAAAAGCAGGCAAGACACTGCTGAATGGATTTTGTCTTTTCAGTAATTCCATGTTGTTATATAACTATTGCTACTGTGGAATCTATTGTGCCTTAATGGAGCCAGCAGTCAGTCTTACTTTTATAACAAGTGCTGTTCAAGTGTTTTCTTCCTCCTGCTTCACAACACCCTTGTTTTGTTAGGCTAAGTGCCATGTAATCACAGCTCTCGTTGTTATTGTTCTTAATATTTATTTTCCTAAAGTAAGAATTGTTAGGGATGAGAAGATGTAACCAAGTGCAAAGATAAAAGCCTGCTGTGAAAGAGCGGAGACAGGCACATTTGTCATGCTTCATTATTTTTTAACTCAGCTCTGAAATAAGGACTGTGCTTCCACTTTTACCTTTTCTCGCAGTTTCACTTATTTTATACATGAAAACTTTGATTTTTGACTTTGAATTAACTATCACAGGCCACAGGTATGATAAGTATGTTTCTATTAGTACGTATGAAATTCCTTCTTATCACAGGCTCAACCTTAAAGCAGTTTAACAAGTAAATAATAAGCAATTCAAGGACAAACAGTACACATTCACTATACAGAGAGGACACTGTGCAACAGTGTTGTGGAAATGTGGTAAGACCACAAAACCAAAACATAAGTATTGAATAAAAAGCAAGCACTCATGAATATAGGGTTTAATTAAAGGCAGAAGCAAATAGAATACAAAACAAACATAATTTTTAAAAAAGGGCACAGACTGAGAGTTGCTCACCTAGAGAAACCTCGCGGGCAAAGGCCATGCACACCAGCATCAGTGGAAGGCCGACAGATACAAACTTGATGACCTTGTCTAGAGGAAGCTCCAGCTCCAGGTGGCTGATCCGATTTATCCCAGAGCTGTCCTGCAGCAGGGCATCAGATAGCATAGCCTTGGCTGCCACCTGGGCGATGGACATTTTGAACACCTACCCAGATAAGAAAAAGGCTTTTCTTTTTGACACAGTCAAGCAGGAATTGAAGATAATCATGTGCTCTCAGTGCTTGCATTTCTCTTATCTTCCCTATCAGTCTTCACTGTGATATATTCGACATATTAAAGTAAAAATCCCTGTACTGTAAGTCTACAGAGATTAAAGAAAACCAGAGTAGTGGATTGGTTTTCCAAAATTAGAAATGCATTAGCATTATTCCAAGTAAACATCTTAAACATGTGATGAAAGCTAATGTAGAACCACCTTACCTGAAGTCTTCCAGCTTTCTCTGGTGGTAGTTTTAGAAAATACACTCACAGATCCAAAGAGTTCCTGTAATGACCTGCACAGTGTTGGAAAGCTCCATAAGTATTCAGGGAGGACCTTTTGTTAATGAGAGGTTTGATCTGGGCTGGACCAGGCTGAGCCGGGTCTGACTCTAATTACAGACAAAACATCTGGGAGCCTATAGGCGCCCAGATGGCACTGGCTGCAGCAGACCTCCAGTACTCCACACTGGGCTGTGCAGTGTGTGTGTGTATGTCTCTCGTGTGCCCATGCTGTGAAGCATGGTGGCTGTGGCCCACTTCAAAAAAGTGAACCACTGCCAGTGGCTTTTCAGCCTCTATCATTCTGAGACTATTTTTGCTTCGCTTCTGCCTCAGAGCTACTGCTAAACACTGAACCATACAACAGAAGTAGTCATGTTTCTGACCGTTGCAGTGCCTGTGTTTGAAAGAACAACTGTGTGAGAAAAGATCCCATTTCATTAGGTGGATCTGCTATACAGGAATGTGTTCAATTCTACAGTTTACATTTTCCTAACTGAAATTAACTGGTGTCTACAAATACAAAGGTAGAAGTAATGTGAAACTGGCCTCATTGGGAGGATTAGTGGCCAGAGATCACGATCATATCATACTGACTGTCACTTTGAGCCATGACCGCTGTAGCGGAAATGGCTATATATTCTGAATATTAATTTAATATGTCTAATATTTTAATATCCTAATACCTCATTAGAGTAGGGCACCAGATAGTCATAGCTGTATCACACTACTGATGAATTTGCCTAATCAGAGTAATTCATTCAGTCTCATTGGCAATTTTGGAGTTCTCAGGACATCAGTCCATGTATGTGTAAATAAAAGAGAAAAGATGACATAACAAAATCAGTTACAAGCTATTTGAATTTATTTACAATATGTAGTAAAGGGGAAATGATCAGGATGAAAAATGCAATGAAATGGTACATTTGTAAAAAGGATGATTAAGCAGCAGACAATGAATGAATGGATGACTTGGCTTATTGTTCTCGATGATAGAATAATGAGTTGTCTAAAATTAAGATAGAGTTTGGATCTAAATTCTGCGGTTTAGTCACAAATCTAGAGAGAAAATTAACCACCAGTTTCTACAGATTAGAGACTTAAGTGAGACTATGGTTTTCATGAGACATCAGTTTGCCAGGGTGCACTTAGATTTTAGCAGGGCTCACATGGCTGGCTGGGAAAGTAGCCTTGGTTCTGAAGCCTTTTTGGGTCACAGTAGAGGTTTGTGGAGGTCCAAAGTTCCCGAACACCATTCAAGAAGGTGTTCCTCATCTTTGGTGTAGGATCTGCCTCTCTCTTGTAATGGGTTGACTCCCAGTCTGTGGCCGGACCCCTGTCCAGGGCAATAGCTTCAGCAGGGTCCTTCCTTCATTGTGGTATTTGATGATGTCTTGAGGAACACTGTCGTTGAATTAACTGATCATCACAGGATTGTTTTGATGGCGTTTTTGGAGCTTAAACAATTCAGCTTAAATACTTGGCTTTCAACTTTGCTACCAAAGGTTTTCTTTGTCTACAAACTTTGGCTAAAAACAGTTTGAATTTTGGCATGCTTTATTTCAGATTAGCTTTCTGCCGGGTCACAACAGAAGGACCACTATAATGTTGCTAAATAAACAAACAAAAAAAGAGAAAAAAACACTTCTTGTGGTGATGTGAGCATAAGATTTAGAAAAAGGAATTTTAGACAAAAACATGCAGATGGTCTCTCATCTGAAGAAACACACACTTTGCAGGCTCAAACTTTCTTCTTCTTTTCTTTCTTTCTGTTCTTTCTCTCAGAGTGTGTCTGAAATTGCCTGCTACACACGGATGTACATTTTTTTGTTGAATACCTCATACTCTCAGTGAAAATGCAGCAGGCACTGCAGCCACTCCACTGTCTGGTAAGCACAACTACCAGACTACTACACGGTCATCCTGCCATCCCTTTTAGTCATGGAGACCAGGCTAGGTCTTTTGATGCCCACATCTGGTTTGTTTGCAGAGGATGATGTGAGTCAAGTCAAAGTAGAAGTGGAGTTCTGCTCCCTGGAAACAGAATCTGGACTCTAAATCTAATTAGGAGAGGGTGGTGTGCCTCTGCATGAAGCTGTCTTTAGCTGAAACAAAGCACACAATCAGTGAAGATTTGGGTTCAGGGTGAGTTTTTTCCTGCTTGTCAGTGCCTGAAACCAAAGTTTGTTCATCATGTTTCAGTTACTTTACCAAATCTTAAATGTGCCTTCTTGGTCACATTGGTGCAGTGAATAGAGCTCTGAAGACACCTGTAAAATATTGTCACCTTTTAGTTTGATGACAGACTTGTATCTGAGCTCAGCTATGAAATGTAAGTTCAATATTCACTCTGTTTTAGCTCTGTTTTTGGTCTCCACCAACTTCTGACACCTAAATGTTTCAGTAACTCATTCACTTTGTTTGTGTGCTGTTTGGTGCTGAGTAGATAATTTTATGTTTGTTTGAAAACAGCTGTTACTGTGCCTGGAAACAGTGCTCATAGCAGTGAGTCTCAGCCAAAAAAATATAGTTGTATAGCCACTGACTGCAACTTGATACGTTTATAATAATAATAATAAAACTTTTTTATATAGCACTTTACAACTCGAAGCAAGGCATAAGTTGAAAGGTGCTTTAAATGGTAAATGGACTGTATTTATATAGTGCATTTTTCCACAGTGTGTTGGCCAAAGTGCTTTACAGGAGATGATACACCATTCACACACTGATGACGACAAGCTGCCACACAACAGCGCTAGTCAAGCCACCGGGAGCAATTTGGGGTTAAGTGTCTTGCTCAGGGAGACTTAGGCATGCAGGGAGACCGGGAGTCAAACCACCAACTTGCTGGTCAGGAGACAACTTCCCTACCTCTTGAGCCACAGCTACAGCTCTATAGATCAGAGGGGGCACCTTACTGGGTGACACCTTTCACATACAAAGAGTAAATTCATTCCTTATTACTAGAAAAATATTGGTTAATGGAGCTTGGGACATATTTGAAAACATATTGTTTTTGAAACAGAATTGTCATTTAAGTATATGCTCTTATTGGATGACACTTAAATATATGACACTCCTTGTAAGTCTGTGATTCATCAGCTGCATTAGTGATGACATCTTGATTCACCAGTGGGATGAAGAAATGTGATTCTTCCTTTAGCTCAGTTTGAGCAGTAGATCCATGAGTTTAAAGGCTTATCTGAGTGTATGGAGGTTTATAATATTGCGACAGTTTCATCAGCCAACACAGCACCTGGATGATGTTGCACTGCTTTGTGGCAAAAATTGAGATGCAAGCAATGTTTTTACTGGATGACCTTCAATTTTTTTTATGGGCACACAGCATCATCACAGTGTGCACATAGAAATACTATAGGTGGTGGGTTCTTTTCTTTCCTTAGTGATGTTGTCTGACCAAATGCAGCCCTGTGATTGACTGGTAACTTTTCCAGGTCTGTAATCAAGTGGTCATTATCATATCTAATATTTTCTCATTTTTATATGAAAAGAATAAATGCTGTTGAAAGCTTTTGTATTATAGTGTGTTCACTGAACCTTGAACCATGAAATAAACCACAGCAGCAACCTGACTCTGTATTAATTAAAAACACATACACACACACAGGTAAGTGATTTATGACCAGTCGTCCTGCTGTGGCTAAAGCCGTCCCATGATAAATTAAAACAACTCTTAGCTACTGTATGGCATAGATTAATATATTTACCTTTAATCCCACTGCTCTGTCCATCTGACCCGGTGTGCAGAAAGTCCTGTGTGGAATAATTATGGAACATCGTGCCGACCATACTTTCAAACAAGTTTTTAATTTGGCCACTTTTGTAAATATGGGTGATTTCCCTCCCTTGTATGAGAACTTTTGAACAGAGCTTCATGTGTCTAATTACCTCATCACATGTTGCCTATGCCTAATATTTTATTTTGAAGTCTTGCATGGCCACAGCAATTCACATTCCTCCTACCCGCAAATGTGGCTGAAGGAGGATAAAGTAGCAGAGGTACATAAAAACAGATATTTAATAAGTGTTGCTGCAATTAAAGTTTGACCTTTTCAACTTTTCTAGTGGAGAGAAGAAGAAAACAATGCAAGGCTGCAATTATACACAAGCATACAAGTCATGTAAAAAAACAATACAATGTGGCAATACACCCACAGCAGTGATTATCATTTGCTCGGAGGGAAGCAGAATCCACATTTCAAAAGTTGAAACCCTGTGGTCAAAGCGCTATGGATTCTTTTGTGGTAGTTGTCTGAAAAGGTGGGAGTGTGTTTGGGTGGGTGTCTTCCTGCACATTAAATCACAGGCTAGAATGATAGTGGGTGGGAGACTACCCATGTGACAGGAACGCATGGGAAGTTCATCCAATATTTAGCCTACTAACTCTGTAATTTGGAAATATGTTACAGCGCAGCAGGGCAGGAGAGGGTTCAGAAATGCCTCACACCCACATATAAGTCTCAGTGTGTGTAGCAAGGAACAACAGTAATCTCATGAATCAAACCATCTACTTTCTATTTGTGAATTTATGGTCCTGGATGCATTTGCTTAGCTGAAACATAGGCAGAACATTCAGATAACGAAGTCAACATCAGTACCTTTACATGTTTTAATTATTAAAATCGGTCTTTTGAAACACAATAGATTATGACAACAAAGTGTACAAATGAAATAGAAATAGTTCCTATTGTCTGTTACTTGCTCTGGAAGATCCATTTTAAAAAGCAATCAGGAAAAGAATATTAATGAGCAACATACTTCACAATGAACAATCAGAACATTCAATATAACATGTTTTTTTCTTTTTCTAGACATCTTCACATTAGAAACGAGTTGACTCCATTTGTGTTTTAGTACAAAACAGAGCTGAAAATGTTTCACAGTTTCTTCAAAATCCTTCACATAAAATTGAAAGAGACATTGCTGCTCAGTTTATCTCTCTCAATTTCCTCAAAATTGTCTTCTTTGAAAGAGTCTGTCTGTAAATTACACCATCTATGTTGAATCCAAAGTCATTGACTGTCTTTGTGTGATTTCTCTTAGCGCTGAGAAGCGGATGACACAGTCTGTGGTAACTGGCAGGGCTTTCCATGCTCTTATTTAGTGACAGCATCATCCAAGGTCACAAAATACAGAAGCATTTTTTGAACAGCTGATGTCAAGTGTTTGCATGGCCACCAGGTATTTCAACAGCCTTATTCAGGAAGCTTGCAAAACCTGCAGTATATGCAGAAGCAAAAGTTCTTGTCATATTGTTGCTTTAGCTACCCTCTGATGCCATGCCCAAAAACTAAAACTGAAGAAATATGCAAACCTTCAACACCAGAATGCAAACAAATGAAAAGTCCAATCTACATACTAGAAGTGCAGTCAGTATACACTGGTTTACTACATTTTTTTAATTATTTTTGCTCATGGGAGAAGAACAAATAAACATTATTTCAGAAGTCATGCTCAAAAAGATTTGCTGCAGCAACGAGTCAAGTGTTTCACTCATGAGGAAGAAACATGTTGAATGAGTGTTGTTTGACCTGAGAACCTATGAGTCATTTAAAAGGCTTGAAAGATGTCCCAGCACTAGAAGCCAGCACAGTCACATCTGCACGTATTCGGACAGCATCACACCTTTTTTATTCCCCTTTGCTTTTCACTCCTCACTTTTATTTTAGGAACCAAAATGACACATTAACTGCAAAGTTAGTAGACTGTCAGTTGAAAATGTTGTGCTTTGAGTCATATGATATGGACAGTTTAGAAAAGCTGCACCCCTTTTTGTAACTCATTTCAAGGGGTCAACATGTTTGGACAGATTACATTCAATTAAGTAGATGTTTACACATGCAGTCCAACATTCTCCCTGTGTTTTGATGCATGTGCAACTACACCAGACTCCTCATTCCCCTTTCCAGCATTTGCACTTTCGGTTCACTGACTCAAAATGTCATGGCTTGCTGAAAGCATCAAACTTGATCCAAATGAAAAATGTGTAATTGTAAGTAGTAAAATGGGTTATTTTAAGACTGACAGTAATAGTTTCTGTGCCATTTCTTTCCATAAATAACGAGCTATAGAGTAAGAAATGTGCTACTAGCCAAATATTTCTGGAGCTCACTGCATGAGAACATACTATGGTAAAATGAAGTAACACATATTATTCATTCCCTATAATCATGATCATGATGGTCATTAGGCTCTGCAGAAGAGTGTCTGATGAATGTGGATAAAACCCTAGCTGAGTCTAAATGAGGCCGTATTAAGTGGACAACGGAGGTCATAGTTCATATAGTCTTCCCCGACTCCACTACTCCAGTTCCTCTCTGTGCTCCATGCTCAGATCTCTCCTTCCCCCTCTTCCACTGGACATTTGCCTCCCCCTGTGGCTTTCCTCCTCCCCATCCTCCTCTTCTTCTTCCTCCTCCATTCCTTCCTCCTCATCGTCCTCTTCCTCCTCCTCCTCTTCTTCATCCTCCTCAGTGCCATCCATGGAGTCATCGGCTCCCAGCATGGCTTGCTGCATGGCCAGGGTGGCTGAATCTGAGGACAGCGACTGGAGGCTGTCCATACTCAGTGGGTCTGAGGGCAGGCAGGGAAACAGAGGGGTTAGGATGAGGCACACAACTATAAACTCTAAAAAAGACTAAATCCTCTCCAAGATGTTTCCAAAAGTACAAAGCACCTGTATGTTGAGTTTTGCCTTTCTCACTTTGCTGTACAATGTTTTTATCTATTATAAACTGAAAATCTGAGAGAAGCGTAGTGCACATGTTACATGCAGACCTTTGTTTTTTCTTCAGCAAATTCCAGTTTCCTTTGGTTAAATAAATATTTTGTTCTGGCATGTAAGGTCGATTCATTTTGGGGGTTTACTGCTTACATGCAGTCATGAGCACAGGAAGCGTACCTAGATATGACTAGCTAAATGAGACCATTCTAGTTATTTCAATAATTTGATACTTTGTAACTTTTACCTTCACATCTTCTCACCTAAATAGAAGAGAAGTATCAATAGTGACACCTAGTGGTCAGGATTTAAATACACAAGATTCAGTTCTATTCTTAATGTTTCATGCATGTGTGTGAATACCAGGCACAGCTTAGGACTTCAGAAAGAACTCTGTGTTATAACTGGATGTTTGTGATTATTTCTTGGGACACTTTAGTGTTGGCATACTGTCTGAGTTGTTTCCTGTTTGAGATCTGTGCGTCTGCAGAACTCCAGCCACGATGGAGTCGGGCCAGAAGCGTTGTGTGGGACGGTGCTGAGATTTCATCTTCTTCGCTTTGGGAGCTGGATCTGGGTTACTGGCATCCAGCATTGGCTGGAGGATACGCCGACGTGCATTGATGAACCTGGGAAAATAGACACAGACAAGAGATGGAACTGGTGTAAGGGACAGAGATGGAGATACAGATTGGCATTATTAATAAATGCACAGAACACAGAAGGAAAGTCATGGAAGTGAGTACATATCCGTTTTTGTCCTGGAGAATCTTCACACAACAATGGCCAAACTAGTATAAGCTTTAACAGAAGTCCATCCAAAAATGTCCATCAAATCTTTTGGATATCCTTCCTTCGTAAGGGTGGTCTCAGGTTTTCTTATATATGCTCCATCAATCAGTCATGTGACTCATAGTTAACCATAGACACAATGCTAAGTTTACAAACAAACAATACTGTATTTCTTAAATATGTTTCTACATTCACAATATTTACTCCTGGTAAATACATACATTTGCAAGAGAAATATAAATGACAATAGATACAAAATATACAACCCTACAAGTGAGTGCTGGTTGCCAAATGCAATCCTTCATACTATCAGTGGATAAAAGTGTGGAATCTCAATTTTTCAATATATAGCAGCAAATTTTGGTCTTTTAATTGTTTTCAAAAGCATGCACTCATGAAGGGAGGTGTACTTGATATGTACAACCAGGAGATGGAGCCACAGTAGCAGCAATCTAGTGAGGAACTCCAGTCTCACTCCTAAGTTCAACTGATGCACAGCCTCCACTCATATTTCCACTTCACTAATATAAAGAAGTGCCTCTCTGTGTATTAAACACACGAGGATGTCATAGCTATGGTGAGACTGGCATTCTTCTTCTACTGTAGGAATTCAGCATCTTACCAGTTGTTCACTTGCAAAAGGGTTAGACTGGTCTGTGCTGCAATCTGCCTTTTCTCATCTTCTGTTGGGTAAGGGTGCTGCAAGAAGGGAGAAACAACATGTTGGCTTTCAACCAGGTTTTTAAAATTAATAGCATGTGTGTGACTTGTCAGGTTAACACTAAAATACCCTACTCTTTCACCATTCAGTAAACGGCCTCTCTCAACTAGTGCACTCTCCATATACACTCACTGGCCACTTTATTAGGTACCCCTGTACCTAAAATATTATGTAGTCCAGTACAACACCACCTTTAACTATGACCTCCATAATAAACATATAATTGAATTTATACATTTATGACAATTTCACCAGAAACGGGAACATTTTGAGCTTCATAAAAACAGATGTAGCTAATACAGTGGCCAGTGAGTTTGTCTCAACAGATGATTTTTTTTTCTCTTCCATAGCTTCCAGTTCATAGTACTTCCCTTGAAACAAATAAGACCATTATAGTTGAATGCACGCACACGCAAACACACACTCTCTCTGGCTCACCATGAGATGCTGAAAGAGCCAGGAGCGCATGATGTTGGTAGCGTGTTTGGGTAGGACCCCCCTTTTATTCTTGGACTTCTTGTCTTCACTGTCCAACAAGGACGACAGATCCACGTTTACCTTTGTAACAGATACCGAGAGGGCGGAAGAGAGTGAAAGAAAAGACAAGAGAAAAGGAGGAGACGGTAGGGCTTAGTTATTGTTGCCACGGAAACAAAGGGAGACTACAAATTACCTATCTTTTTTTCTGTGGCAAGGGCAGAAATACCTCCTCAAGTGTCACCATGGTAACTGAGTTTGAGTAATGATACTTAAAACACAAAAAAGCAGCCCCATTGACTACGTGGAAACACAAGAGGGTCAGTATTCTGTTGGTGCTTCAACATGGTGTTTAAAGAATGGAGGGTCAGCCAAGCCCTCAGTCAAAAGTTTAGATTTCACAGCTTGCTGCTGAATTAGTGAGGAGCTGGTACAAAGTGTGACTGTGTTTGGTTTAGTTTTTCATCTGTGTTGGCCTAAGCCTGACTTTGTGAAATCATTATTCAGATGTTATTGTTTGGAGTGTGAGTTCTAAAGGACGGGATGATCTCAGAGTATTGACAGTCTTTGACAGCCTGCAGTGTACATATGGATGTGTGTATGTGTATCACTCCATGTTTTTGGTCTGCTTGAGCTATCCTAGCGAGGACTGACTCTTGGTAGTCCATTGTTCTTGTGAGGGCCTTTAGGGTTGCGATGGTGTTTAGAGGACATTTCTATGGTTACAGTCAAGGCTAAATTAGGAAACAGTGTGACTGCTCTAGGGCTCTTATTACATAAAGGTAAAGCTGCAAAGAATGATAGAATAAGTCTGATGATTGTTTATAGTAAATAGCCCACGTCAACAATGAATGTCTCCTTCTAGCAAGTACTAGGCCTGATGCATCTTATTCCTCTGTGCCTCCGAGCTTCATTATTGTCCAAAAGCTATTTTAAACACATCACTGAACCACATTGCTGCACTGGTTGAAATGTTCTTTCATCACCATGAACACACACACTGTAGTTTATTATGACTCAGCCCTGACATACAGTACACTGTTCTGCAGCCTAAAGTACTCACTAAGGCATCAGGTATGTATTAATCCAACGGTGAAACTAGTCTCTAACACATTAAACATTTCCTCCCGTTTCTTAAAAACTACAGTGGCCAGCTGTTTTACTAAATGACTTCTCCTATCTTTTTAAATTAAATGTATATATATTTGTCCCCTGTTTTTAAACACTGGCATGGGGCTGAACTCAGGGACTGTTAGACTGTAGTCAGAAGGAATTTAAGGACAAACATATATCATTGGTTTGGGTCTCATTTTTAATAAAATATGTACAACAGGTAAATACTGTATATGTCTATTTTATCCCTCGTGCGAGTTTATCTGATTTTCTTATAGATCCTCTCCAGAGATTTTTTATGACCAATAAAAATAGTCAGCCCTCTGTACATCATTCTGCACATGATTTTGAGTTGAGGGGTTTTTAGCAGGACAGCCCATGTTTTTTGTGCATTTTCACAGAATTGGTTTAAGATCAGATTTTTGGCTTATTTTTTGAAAACTGTCAAATTAAGCCTAGTTAGAGGAAGATAATGTGAAACATAACGGGCCCTCAACATCAAAATCCCTTTGGCACTATCTGTAAGGAACTATACAGTACTTCATACAGTACATAGAAACACATACCATATGAAGACATACACATGTACACATGCAGTGAGTCACACCTGAACACTGTCTTTTAATGACTGCATATCCATAAATATGTAATGAGTAATATGAACAAGACTTTTAGTCTGTTGTTGTCATTGTACCAGACTGTGACTGTAAGTTTTGTATGTTTTTTGTTGTACTGAATGAGGTACCTACAGTATTTGTGAACACTAAAATCCTTCATGAAAACACAAAACAATGCAAGTCTGCTAAACAATGTAAAATGTATAAATTTTATGCAGAGTGTAGCAGTGGAAAGAATACCGGCTGTCCCGAAAATAAATAGCAAACACGATGTGTTCATTATATGCCCTCATACATGTGCCGAACCTCCTCTAACCCACACAGTGCCCATAAATACACATTCACACACTCAGATCCCCCCTTATACGCCCCATGCAAAACAAGACTCATTACAGTTGCAGCTGGGTGTCACACGGATAACCCTCCCCTTATTCCCCCTCAGCCAAGGGAGCATGTGTGTTCCGGGGGAAAGTGAGGTTGAATTAATTGGCAGCACCGTGCTCAAGAGTGTGATTACTCGGGGCTTGTCTGCAAAGTAGCAACGGGGCCGTGTTCAATTCCCAGCCCACATGTAGCACTCTGCCTCAGCTGGATCACAGCTATTCACCGAGGCTTCCTCTCACTGTCGAGAACAGAATTACCTACCTGACAGTGAATTGCTTTCCAGGCCAGCCCTGCTGCACATGGAGCACTGTTTAAACTTCCCTGCTCCCACTTTCTGTTTATATCTAAGTGTCAAAATTGGACAAATACTGGCCACACCGGTGATACATTAAATCTACAATAGCCTGGTGTTTTTTGTAATTTTGGTCATAAATGCATTATGTTTGAAAGGTCTAGAGAAAGGAACAAAGCTGTGATTGCTCTTTTCAAAAAGTAGTTACAATGGAATTCTCTGTTTAATATCTCACATACTCCACCTGTAAAAACCAGAATTAATTTTAATAGGAAAATTAGTTTCACCCATTTCATTACTGTGCATTTCATACCTTAATAGTGCATCAGTAATCACACTGGCTCAAAGAAACTGGATTTATAAGAACTCTTGTGTTTACAACACAGAATCTGCATGAGACATTCATCCAAGTTAATCGGGCTATCGTACATTATGTACATTCCTATCAATGTGCAGTCCTTTATGTTTGCTGTACACAAAGTTCCTATCTGTTTCTGAGCTTTTTAATCAGTGATACTACTAAGTATTCCATATTAAATCCATTGCCAGTACTTCAGTGGATGATGGACATTTTACTTTATTTTACTATTCTATGCTTTTATGTAAAACTAGCTTTCATACAGGATATTTTTTCTGCCAACATTTGCTGGTCTGTTATTTTGCCTTTGGTGTGATATCTCAGTCCTGTGTCGTGACTGTCTTTTAATGAGTCAGCACAAATGATCCAGATCAGATTCCTTGTGCTTTTATGCGGTGAAACTAAGACATTCTGACAGTGAAAAGATCTCCTGTCAGCAGACCTACAGTAACAACAGTCTGATTTTCCTTCCCATTAGAGGAAGGTTTCTACTCCTCTGACCTTCTTTCCTAACAGAGGAGGGCATGTGTACAACAAACGGACAGTTGTAACAGTCCTACCTAGATTAACCGTAATAGACCGAGGAAGACAACAGAAATAGCTCTTTGATGGCTGACTGCTGACCTTTAAAACAGTAATGCAACAAGGAGTACAGCTAAGTTACACAAAACAGTTACTTAATTTAATACATCATTGTTATAGTCTATATCTAGATATGGCAATACCTGGTTTAAATTCACTGTATGGTACTTATAGGGTGGTGCAGGTCTAAAACATGGCTTTTGGTCTTCAGCCATGCAGCTCAGATATCCATCCATCCATTATCTATGCCGTTTATTCCTGAATAGGATCGTGGGGGAGCTGGAGCCAATCCCAGCTGACATTGGGTGAGAGGCGGGGTCCACCCTGAACAGGTCACCAGTCTATCACAGGGCTGACACTTAGAGACAAACAACCACACACACTCACACCTACGGGCAATTTAGAGTCACCAGTCAACCTAAGCTGCATGTCTGTGGACTGTGGGAGGAAGCCGAAGTACTCGGAGAGAACCCACGCAGGAATCTTCTTGCTGTGAGGTGACAGCGCTAACCACGCGGCTGTGCCTGTTATGGTTTTGGACTTGCTTCCTGTCTTTGTGCTTTTATTTTGGCTGGTTTCCTGTTCTGTGCCGCCTCACCTGCCCCAGCTTTAATGTTGTCCTTAATCACTAATCATTGTTTCCACCTGCTGCTTGTTATCCCCTGGTCTCCAGCCCATATATTCTCCTCCTTTCCCTTAGTCACTTACTGGTTCATTCCACTCACCACACCCTCCCAGTTCATGTTGCTACTGTACGTTCTGCACCTGTTTGTTTCCAGCCCTGGCTACCTTTGGACTGTTTTCTCTTTGAGTTTTGGATTTACCTGTCATTAAGGATTCGTGTCATTAAAGAGTTGTTTGTTTTTCCTAGCTCCCTGGCTGAACTGTTTTGTAGTTGAATTGTACATTTTTGTTACACTTTATTAGGTTGAGTTCCCTAAGTTATACCCATAGTCCTTTGTTTGGTATTTTGTATATTAAAGTTTGACAAGAACTATTCCCTGGCCAGTGACCAGCTTTTTGAGTCCATCCCGTACTCGTGACCTGATGGTGCAGCTCAGCTAGTTAAATGTTAAACATTTCATCAGACCAGATATATAAAGCCATCAACAACTGCCTTTAGCTCCAGCATTCAGTGTGATGTTCTGCAACTGAATATATCTTTTTATTACCAGAGTTTGAAGTTACAGTCTATTAAATGCCAGGCCAAGTCTTGTGTCACAAATAGGGGTTGGCCAACTGGGTTTGGGGGTGGAGGACAACTTTAGTGTATAGCTGAATAAATAAATGTAGGTAGATGGGTGCATAGCTGTGACAGATATGGTTATATGCCTTCTGTAGACACTTTGTAAATGTTAGGGTTGCCATGTTACCATGTCATCATTTGAATGATGTAACTTTTAGTTAATTATAATTAGGTATGACACAAAAACTTGGCAATCTAAGAGAAAATACATAGTGAATGTGAAAACAGTTTTAAATAAAAGGAAATATTAAAATCACATATGTCGTTATGTCATAAAAATCCAACCCCAGGCATCCATGTGGAGTTGACTGTTGTAAAGCCTTTCACGGAAAGAGAATAAAACGTTTGGGGGTCATAATATTTCCTCTCCATAATAATTCCACAGTATAATGCTCTTATTCTTTTTATATTTTTATATTATATTTTATATTGCAAAGTGTATGGTACTTTCATGCTTTTGAAAAATAAGAAACAAAATATTGAGTTATGAATGTTCTGTAGCAACTGAGTTTTATTTCTTAAATTACATTATCAACAATATTTGATCTATAAATGATCCTGGGGTTAAGTACATGTCCTTCATGACTTTCAAATGCAGTCAAACCTGACAGAATCATGTAAGGGAATAAACAATGTGGGAAAAGTAAATTTCCATTTTATCTCTCAGCAGGGGGCTGTGTTCCGACAGAGGCGATGAAAAGGCACCCAGGGGGTTTCAGTGAGATGTAACAAGGTCCTGTTAACACTAACAAAGGAAACAAATGTGTTGGCCCAAGCATTACCAGCCCTAGGGCTTTACCTGTGAGTTCTGGATCTGAATGGTTCCTGGTGGCAGCGCCTGCGTTAACACTTGTCCTTGTGATGTCACCATGGCAACTGGCTGGTACAGGGTCCCACCTGAGGAGATAATTTGCCATCATAAGTATGAAGTAGCTCCCCCAGCCACATCATTGACTACCACCAGAGCCTTATTAACTTCTTGTCAGCCCCACAAACAAAAACAAGGCAGACAAAATGATTAGATTCATGGTGCATAAATGTCCTTTCACCAAGAAAAAGAAGAAGGGAGTGTGTTTTTGCTACTGGCTTAATTAGCCCTGATCAAGACACTCTTATCACAGTCTGTTTGAGCTCTTCAGTGAATAGTGATCAAAGGCAGAGACATTGATTTATTTTGGGTTAAAAGGGATTTCCAGAGGGCAAGATTAACATTTCACTGTACAGGCTTGGCATTATAAGAACCTATCAGCCAAGCACGCTGTGAAGGAGAGCCACAACAGGGCTCTCAGACACACATGTAAACAAAAGTCTGTCATAGCAGCCATACTGCATAACAAGCATTCCCATTTTAATACAGTAAAGGCCATTTAAGTGTAATGGTTCAGCTCAGAATGTTGTTGGGATTGAATTCATCAGCAGGTTGATTTTATGTACTTTATTGACAATATGGATTATTATTAATAATATCACTATGCAAAGTCATGCTAGATACTCAAACTGTTGTTACATTCTCTTTTAGACATTTCATGTCAGTTGTCAGTTTATATGTACAGATTGACTGTTAAATTCAGTACAGACAACAGCTTTTGTGTCAGATTAAATAATGTAAATAAGAATATTATTTACAGTATAATAGTTTGACTATATAACATAGCTGTGAAGTGTTTTACAGAAAGAATATAAAACATACAAAGAAACAGGAAATTTAGCTAAGTTAATGACACAGAGGAGTGGAATATTAATAATTCAATGTGCTCAAAATATAAAATGAATTAAAATAAATAAGCCATATTTTGAAACAGCTGGAGATGGAGAAACCATGATTGAATCACCCTGGTCCAAAGACTAAAGATGTGTAATTCATTTGTGGACTGGAGGGATGTCAAAATCTGTGTTATATTAGCTGTGTACCATTTATCCTCTACTAAGAAAAAAATCAGAATGCCACTGCATTAATGCATGTCTATATTCATTTAAGTGTGAAGTAACATTTTCTACATCCTTATTCTGAATAATACATTCAGTGACAGCATAAATATACACTATTCCCATTAGGTTTTCAATATCAGAATGTCACAATATTACACTCATTCATTCAGACAAGCTAAATTCTGTGTACATCTAAATGCTTTTTTAAGTACTACAGTTCATTCCTGGCAAATGGAATTATTTAATATTGTCCACTGGGGCAATAAGGGGCTCAAATACTGCATTCCCATTTATCAATAACACTGGACAGGTGTAAAAATAGGTGTGCTGTAACAGGAAGTGTGATTGTTATCTTTTAATGTGGAGGTTTCACTGTGTGAAATTAAACTGCTTGTCTGACCAGAACAGTCTGACAGCCTACCCAATCCAAGTATCACAGATATCAAAGTTATTAGCAGATGTTATTATGAAGAGTCTAAGCAATGTAAAAAAATAGTTCAAATAGTCAGTATGCCACTTTTTAAGTGTGACATTGCACCAGAAAAACACAAGCCAAAATGAATCTTATATGTGCAAGGGCCACAGTGTTTTAATGTTTGTATGTGTAAACTCATGCTCACCTGGTACCACTTGAGAGTTGATGGTTGTCATGGCGACATTGCCCTGTTGCAGACCCCCGGTGGGCACCACAATCCCTGAAGGGTTAACTGAGCTGGAGACAGAGGTCATGGATGGAGAGGAGGTCTGAATTAGTTCCTGGGGGATCACAGAGAGACACTGGTGAGCAAATGTAAGGGAGTACCTCTACTGTTTGTGACTGAAAAACTCCCAACAGCAAAATCTACCTGGTGATAAATGACAAGCTGTATCTTGGGAAGTGCAACTCACAGAGGGATATCATCAAGGAAGCGTAAGATGCACAGAGTATGTGACTGACCTGCTGCATGCTGAGACTGGTGTGTGATGGAGAATAGGGTCCTCCCAGGTCATTGCGGAGAAGGTTGTCGCTGTGCATCTTAGTTTTCAGGCAGGTAATGTAACGGTTGCAGAAATCCTTACAGAGCTCATTAACCTTCTCTAACTCTAATAGGTGGATCCTCAACACCTGAATGGCCTTTACCATCTGAAGGAAACACAGGCAAACCGTAAAAATAAAATTATTATTAATGTACTTTAGTGGGTTTTAATGGATATTATAAATTACTACAACTGAATGGATTTTTAATAGATTCTGTGCACAATTGTAAGGAGTTTGTAGGCAGCATTTTATAACATAGCAGTAATTTTTCCAACAAGGTGAAAATTCAAGAATAGTTTTGGTGATATTTGGTTAATTTTAAAAGCCAATCATCTTACTATTATATATTTTACTATCTTATTTTGTATCTACATGATGTTATTAAAGTGTTAAATATGACTTTTAATGGCTTTTCTGCACTGTTTAATATCAACCAAATATTGTGGCATTTTGAAAGCTTTATTTTATTTAATAAATTTTAAGTGCTTTTACTAAAAAATCATTTACTACGAACAACCAAGTGGGTTAATGAAAACTGGAGAGATTATACAGCTGCACAGGTGATCACCCTGGAAATAACAAATGACCACATTAACTGAAAAAAAAAATCCAAAACAAGTTTTGTTGGACACCAAATACTGAAAAACTGAGGTGAGGTGTTTACAGACTGTCCTAAAGGGTGACATGTGATGAGAGGAAGTGACATGCAGCAATTTCTTGTACTGATGAACAAGGAGTGTCATTCAGTTGGTTTCCAGTCATGCATATTGATTACAAGTATACAGGAAGATTGTAATCATTTCAGCCTTCACTTTCCCAAAGCTCAAAATCAGCACGCCAAGTCTGATATGTCTTAATACATCTAATATGTAATGCTGAGAGGACAAACTTTAAGCTTCTCCAGCCTCCAGCCTGTATTTTCTTCTCTTTAGCCAAAAACAAGCATGACATCTGTGGTTTAAATCCTCACAATGCTTCTCACATAACCTTTTCTTTCACATAAAGTATAAAATGGTGTCTATTACGTTGGCTTTTCCATCAGAGGCATTGCTTACAATACCAAAATCATACTCTCACTATCTATTTGAAGCTTTCTCCTGCATCTCAAGGTCATCTTCTTAGTGAATGGAGATGGAGATGCTGTTTTGTTTCATATATTGTTCCCAGTGGACAAAAATGAACTTTTATGCTAAAATATGTTTTTAAAAAGTATTTTTTTAAATTCAGAATTTCTGTTCTATCCCTACAAAATCTAAGCCACACCTCTACCACTATACTGGTGTGACTAATAACATACCTTTCTGCATAATTCCCACTAATTGCAGGGACTCTGAGTTTTTGGAATGCAAGCAAAGACCTTCAAGCAGTGCTCACACAACCAGGGGCATTGAGAGTCTCCAGTGAAACACAGCCTAAAGGAGTTGTTGATATGGAAGGCTGCAGCCGGTTTTACACACAGACACTTCTGAAGTTGAGGAAGAGCTCCCCTAACACAACAGAATTACTGGTCTGCTCAGACACTTTCAAGTAATTTGAATGAATGCAGAGTTAGAGAGCAGGCTCTATGAAACTGAAGGCAGATGGCACTGATGGACAAATGTCTGAAATAAAAGATCAATTCACTGGAGTTGTGTTGCTAGAAAAAACCTTGGGGCCAATTTCATTTCCTATATTCTAGATGTCCAATATTTCTATTAATATTTTAATAATTCTAATAGCAAATGGGGAAAATAATTTGAATGTTATTTAAATGTTGTTCTAAAATGTGAAATACTATATTTAATGACATTTTGGCAAAATTGGTCTAACCCAGTTTTGTTTGTAAGACAAGTTTTTAATAACAGGCATTATTCGGTTAGTGTTTGGCACCATACTGTACTGTTTCTTCTCCTCAACAGATATATGACCATCAACACCCTGGCGTTTCTTTGCTATGTGCTGCACACTTTAATGTGCTCCCTCAAAGTCACCACTCAAGGTCAACAGAATGGACAGAAAAGTGCTTGGCCAGGAGGAGATAAATCAGCTAATTAAACTGTGATTGCTTAATCAAGAGAACAGTAACTCTTGCACCCACTGCAGCCATTCAGGCCCAGTGTAACATAACTGCCCTGTGGAAGAGTTAGTGCCCTCTGGGAGGGATGCTCACACCCAATGCCTCATAAAACACACAGATGCAGGATTAATTGACTGTTCAGCACTTGTCAACCTGCCGTTCCTAGTATTGTAATGGCAGGAGAACACTTTTTTTCTTGTCTCTGTCTTTGTCTCACTCTGCCTGGTTTCAGCTCCACCCCCTCTTTTCTCAGTGAACATGATCAGCATCCACCTTCTTTTAATTTGGAATTACTGCTAGCTGTTGTACAAGGGGAAGTGCAAAGGTAGGATGAGGAAGATTACATGACAAAGGAGAGAATGATTAGGAGTAGTAATGATGCATTTCTACGGCTATAGCATTGTCTTCCCTTATTTTTATTTATTTATATATGAGATACATTATGTTCCATAAATTAGCTCACTGAAGTATTAATAATGATAATGCATTACGTGTCCCAGACGTTGTCTTACCAAGTTGTCCAGCTCTGGATCTTCACTGAAGAAGGGCTTGTGTTCTCGCTCCTGCTGGTGCACAAAGTTTTCAATGTCCACATCAAAGCTGGCTGACGTGATGCATTCAGACCCCTGTGTAGCTTGCTCACATTTCTCAAACAACAAGGCCAGCAGGGGGAACAAAGGATGTCTGTGGAGAACAAAAGAGAGGCGCAGATCGTACTGTTGTTTATCTGAAGGAGTATTAGTAGTCCATTTTACCACTGCATTTCTAATGTCCCATCACAAGACATTTAATGCATTGTAGCTGATGTTGGAATTTTGTGTGCTGCAATTCATTGTTGTTGTGTAGCCACTAACTTGCTTTTTCTGTTTATCTCAGTTTGGTGAGTCCCTATATTTCCCAGAATGCTGTGCGCGTAGACATATAGCTAACCAACTTCTTTCTGTGGGCAGCTTGGTTTCTGCCTGTGTGACTGTGGTTGTGGAAGAAAAATATCACATCTAGAAATAAGCTCTTTCTCTTTGGTTTTAAACAGCTAGTGCAAATATTTGGACACTTACTGCTTATATTTTACACAAAGCTGAAACTGTTTCTGCTACAGTATGAAACTCCAGTGGATTATGTTGCCACGGTGTGAGAGTGTCTGTGTTTGGTCAGTTACTGTTACTCAGTTTATGAGAAATAAGCCCAAGAATGCAAGATACAAATTGTTTAACCAGGGATTTTTCCTTGGCAGCAAGCAGCAAACATTTTCCAGTCACTTTACATCACCCTGTTTCTATTGGTAAAATAAATACAGGCTAAGAATAGATGAAACATTTTACCATGGAACATGGTCAGCTGAATATGTTCTGCCAAGACCATATGCTTTCTTTTGGCCTGCTGTGAAGAGAAGTCTTGGATCAATTCCTTAAAGTCCAAGAGAAGATTTTATTCAGTGACATGTTGATGCTTCTCTGTCATTTTGCTTTAATCCTTGATATTTCAGAATAAAGCCTCTGACTGACTCTCACTGTCAAATCCTGTCAGTGACAGGTAGACACAGTCTTAATCAACATGTTAGGAATCCAAAATCCACCTGTTTTCAGTAGCTATGAGGTTTGATCTCTCTATCTGGTCTGATCATCAAAGATCTGAAGTACATCAGCTCTTTGGAGAGATATTTGTCCAAATCAGAGCGATATCAGTGCTGACTCTGTCAGCTTCCCACTAGGAGTGTGTTTTTCCCTGTTGAAGTTGCAGTTGACACTTGATATTTAATTGTTTGTATGTTACACAACATCCATACACACATACCACACATGCCTCCCACTTGTTAAGGGACCAAAAGTAATGGGACAATTGGCTTCTCAGCTGTTCCATGGCCAGGTGTATGTTATTCCCTCATCCCAATTACAATGAGCAGATAAAAGGTCCAGAGTTCATTTCAAGTGTGCTATTTGCATTTGGAATCTGTTACTGTCAACTCTCAAGATGAGATCCAAAGAGCTGTCACTGTCAGTGAAGCAAGCCATCATTAGGCTGAAAAAACAAAACAAACCCATCAGAGAGATAGCAAAAACATTAGGCGTGGCCAAAACAACTGTTTGGAACATTCTTAAAAAGAAGGAACGCACCGGTGAGCTCAGCAACACCAAAAGACCCGGAAGACCACGGAAAACAACTGTGGTGGATGACCGAAGAATTCTTTCCCTGGTGAAGAAAACACCCTTCACAACAGTTGGCCAGATCAAGAACACTCTCCAGGAGGTAGGTGTATGTGTGTCAAAGTCAACAATCAAGAGAAGACACCAGAGTGAATACAGAGGGTTCACCGCAAGATGTAAACCATTGGTGAGCCCCAAAAACAGGAAGGCCAGATTAGAGTTTGCCAAACGACATCTAAAAAAGCCTTCACAGTTCTGGAACAACATCCTATGGACAGATTGACAGCTCTTTGGATCTCATCTTGAGAGTTGACAGCAACAGATTCCAAATGCAAATAGCACACTTGAAATGAACTCTGGACCTTTTATCTGCTCATTGTAATTGGGATGAGGGAATAACACACACCTGGCCATGGAACAGCTGAGAAGCCAATTGTCCCATTACTTTTGGTCCCTTAACAAGTGGGAGGCACATATGCAAACTGTTGTAATTCCTACACCGTTCACCTGATTTGGATGTAAATACCCTCAAATTAAAGGTGACAGTCTGCAGTTAAAGCACATCTTGTTCGTTTAATTTCAAATCCATTGTGGTGGTGTATAGAGCCAAAAATGTTAGAATTGTGTCGATGTCCCAATATTTATGGACCTGACTGTATAACTGTGTTTAGCAGTGCAACTCTAGGATTGGCAGTGCTGGTCTCTTGGTTGGCCTACATCTAAGATAGTGAGCTCGGCACTGTATACACCTGCTAGACATCAGCATAAGCATTTTGACTGTAAACATGGCTGCTGAGTAAAGATGGCCTTAAACTAGAAGACTATGATAAGACTCAAAAAAAACTTTTAAAAGACTAAAGTCTGACACCCACTCACATGACAATGTGTGATTAGTCAGAGGTTTTAGTCGTAGACTATGATTTTTGAAGACTGGGGAACTTGCAGTGTCACTATTTGCAAGAGTGCAACTAGATTTCTCTGCAGACTACTTTTGATTGGAGAAAACAGCCAAAAAGAAGAGGAGAAGGCACGCAGAATGCGGACACAACCCTGGATGACTGAAAGGGGACAGCTAGGTCTGTCCACCTTTTCTCTTTCTCCCGTCTGTCATGGTACAAATTGGATGGCACGTCAAACAGGCACTCTTGCTCACGCCACAACTCCATCAGTTTCTCCTCCTTTGTAATGGCCCAATAGAACTGTGCCTTCCAAGACACGGAGTCACTGGAATGTGACTCATGTTTGAATTGATCAGAACATCAAGACAAGAAAAAGACTGACTTAAAACAGCTCGGATCACCACCTCACACCAAACGATTAAGATGATACGACCGTAGCAAGAATCGTGATTTTAGTCTGATGTTAGGAATTTGTCTGAAGTTGTTAGGTGTATGGTCGTCATAAATGTAACTCTGCATAAAAACTCACAGAGACACTTTTCAAAAGTAGATTTTCCTGGCCTTAAAAAACAGAAATACCAATAGATTTGTCAAACAACAGTAGGCAATTTGACCAGTGGGATGGAAAATAAACAAACACAATCATATGAGCTCCTGACAAGTTTAAAGTCACTGACCAGTGCAGGTAATATTGAAATCACCCCACCTACTTTATAATAAATCTTGTTAATAGGGCTTTAGTCTTTCTTCTGATTTATATACTCTCATATAAACAGAGTCTTATATCTTTATAAAAAGAGGCAATCTGCCTGTAGTTCTTTTACCATGCATCTGCAAAAAAACATTAATGGACAGTGAGTGGAGAGAAGGTCCATTCCAAAGTGCTCCTCACAGCTCTGCTCTACTTTAATAGCATGGCAGCTTGATGACATTCCCAAAAGGACATGCTAAGCATATGCACAAGGTTCAACAAGAGATCACAACAAGATCTTAGTGTCACCTACATTGTTAAAATCTGCCTTTAAAAAAAAATGTCACTCACACAAGATCCCCCAGATACACTGTGGAATGGTCCACATACTGCACTGCTGTATGTACTACATGCCAGCATTATTGAGCATTTCCACTTGGAAGAAAGCTGCTATCCTAATGGCCAGGGTGGCAGCCTACAAGAAGGCAATAACATTTGTCAAAAGTCTGGACACAAGCCCAAGTGAGAATAAAATGTCTTGGTGCATATGAATATTTGTGCCCTAAAAAGCTACTTCATATATTTCATAGCAGAGGTGTGTGTTCTCCTCATTCCCCATTCTGTCCTGATTATTATTCCACACTCTGTGGTTCTGCACTCTCACACACTGTCCTTTATGTTACCTTTGACTTAGAGGAAACCCGGGAGAACTTCTCACAATATGCCACTGTCAAATGAATTCTGATAAGGCCTCTTGGTGCTATGTTACTGCATATAATATCTGTAATCGGGTAAGTGGAGGCACATTTCCTTACTGTCCTATTCAGTGGCTTTAGCTGTACAGCATGTGTAGAAAAGTGTTTTCAAGGAAGAAGGCAGAAAGCAAATTAGTCTTTTTAGGATTTGAAACCCAAGATAATGTTATCCAAACTGCTCAGGACTAAAATGGCCGGTGCAAGGCCACTGCAATCCTACATTTATTTTTAAAAAGTAAAAAAATTTCAAACTTAATTCTGGGTTACATTAAAGCTACATGAGGAATTTTAATGCGACAGTTTTCAAATGTCAATTTTCACCGGCCCTATCTGGCCCCCCACTAAACATATTCTGCAGGCACCACTGTTTCTTGACAGCCACTGGTCAGCAGGTAGATTAAATGGTTTTCTTAAAACCCCATATCACTCATCTTAAAATCCTGTGGTTTATCTGTTTTGTGTTCACACCACAAACAATCCTCATCAAAGTTTGCTTAAAAACCTACATTTCCAGGTGATGTCAGTCCAGTTTAACAGTGTTACAACAGTCATACCAAAGTGCTTTTCAGAACTAAAATAAAGGTGAGACAACAGCCTTAAATAATTATTTGAGAACCTTACTAAAATATTCTACACATGCTGTGACGTTTGTTTGTTTGATCATAGTGATGGCAGGTAATGGTTAGAGAACCAGGCTTGTTCCTGTTCAGTGTGGTCCCCAGACAGGCAGTACTGAGTCTACGTTGGCAGAAGAACATCAGTGCATGTGCCCCCTGTCCTGAATACTGAGGTGCCGCTGAGCAAGGCACTTAACATAAGCGTTGGATAAATACAAGGTGGACCGCGGTGAAATTGTCAAGCGTTGACCGGTCCGCAGTGATAAAAAGGTTTGGGGACCACTGCTTTTCAGAACTAAAATAAAGGTGAGACAGCCTTAAATAATTATTTGAGAACCTTACTAAAATATTCTACACATGCTGTGACGTTTGTTTGTTTGATCATAGTGATGGCAGGTAATGGTTAGAGAACCAGGCTTGTTCCTGTTCAGTGTGGTCCCCAGACAGGCAGTACTGAGTCTACGTTGGCAGAAGAACATCAGTGCATGTGCCCCCTGTCCTGAATACTGAGGTGCCGCTGAGCAAGGCACTTAACATAAGCGTTGGATAAATACAAGGTGTACTGAGTCCATGGTACA